CCCCCAACAAATATACCAGTCCCAAAAAAAAAAAAAAAAAAAAAAAAAAACAAGGTCAAATCCAGGTAGGCAGTCTAGATAGTGCCTGTAAACTGTTTGCTAGCCCTAGCGAGTCATTAATGAATGGTTCAACCCCTCACACGGTACATTGCGCAGGTGTGGGGGCCCACCCCACTGCCTGTGTCATGAGCACACCTCCCCCTCTTCCTCCATCCGCCCCTCCCCCCTCCCCCACACACCACCACCACCACCACACACACACACACACACATTCTAGCAAGTGTCTGAATACTTGCTTTTTGGTGGTACACCACCTTCCTTCTCCGGTCCCGCCCCCTCACCCGTCTCTTTCCCTTTCCCCCCCCCCCCCCCCCCCCCCACAAGGTTATTCCAGAGTAGAAGCATTTTACTTTCGCGGATCGAAAGAGAATAGATCCAACCATTTGAGACACTCGGGGACAGAAAGAAGGGGCGTGCCTTTAGAACCCCCGGAACGGAGATGGAAAACACCGAACAAACAGTCCGCTAACCAATTCAGAATAGACACAGAATCGATTGCACAGCACCTCTCTGTATACGCAACGTACTCCGTGCCGCATCTCAAAGGATAAGAATGAGTGAAGGAGAGGTGGGCATGGCACTAAGTCGTAAACATAGACACAGACAAGCACAGAGTCGCCGCAGACCAATCCGATGGGGTTGAGAGGGGGAGGAGGAGGGGCCCCTTTCCAAGTCACCCTCTTTACAATTGCAGCTGGAGGAGGAGGGGCCCCTTTCCAAGTCACCCTCTTTACAATTGCAGCTACAGTCGTCCCCCGAATACAACGCACGGTCATTATAGCTGTATTTGAGGCATCTTTCAGTCTAGATACACAGCTATAATGACCGTACGTTGTATTCGGGGGAAGACTGTAGATCGCTGCTGCCTACCCACCCACATTTGGCTTATGGTCTGGGACCACGAAACCGTCTGGGACCGCACGACCATGGAACAAATGGGACAGGCCCTCCCATCTTGGTACAGGGCCTGCATCACAACTCCACAAGGTACCCCTTTAGGAAGATTAATGAAACAAATTTGAAGTTATTGAGCACATCTTTTCACAATGGCCAGAGGCGCGGTAGCTACTTGGCGCTGGTGGGATTGCATCCAGCGAACACTGGGGACCGAAGAGGACTGGCCCTGGGACTGGAGGGGACCGATGTGCGGACACTGGCCGGCTGACGTGAATACATATTCCATAATTCCACCAATATGTTCGATCTGGGAAGAAGGGCAATCATCTATCTGCGCATTATTGTGGGAACGGTGTATAATCATGATGGAGAACACTAGGCCACAAGACGGCAAACCTTTTTTTTTTTTTTTTTTTTTTTTTTTTTT